CAACACGCAAGTTACTCTTCACCCAATTGTTCTTTATTACAGAAAACTTATTTATTTATTTATGAAAACTTATCTGTCAAAAGCGTTTGCATGATTAGCGACTGTCTCGATCACAATGTTTCCGCTGTTTATGCTTTTCAAAAACATTTAATTAACTATGTAAAACAAAACCTGAAAAACGTTACTTTAATTAAATATTTTTCTGATGGTGCGGTAAGTCAATACAAAAATTTTTCTAATTTAATTCATCACAAAGAGGATTTTGGATTAAAAGCAGAATGGCACTTTTTTGCAACTTTTCATGGTAAAAGTCCTTGCGATGGAATTGGAGGGACAACAAAAAGATTGGTTGCAAGAGCAAGTTTGCAGGCATCAACAAAAGATCAGATATTGAACGCCAGAGATTTTTACACATACGCTGATGCGAAAATAAATGGTATTAAATTTTTTTGGGTAGACAAAAAAGAAATTAAAGATCTGCTAGGAATGCTTGAAAAAGATTTAGGTCAGCAGATAAAATAAAGGGTTGTCGAAGTCATCACTCATTTATTCCAGACAAAAATGATCAACTTTTGATGAAACGTTTGTCTTCAGATTTATTTGGATACAATTTTAATAAAAATGAAAGTGAAGACACCAATGATGATTATGAGCCGGGTCGATTTGTACCTTTGGTCTATAATAAGAAATGGTATTTAGTAAACATTATAAAAAGAGATGATAAAAATGATGATTTAAAAGTTAACTGTCTGAAGAAATTTAAAGAAAATATTTTTTATTGGCCTAAAAATGTAGATATTTGCTATGTACCATTTAAACATATTTTGATTCTTATACCTGATGATAACATTTCTTATGTTGGAAAAATTCACATAACTCTTCCTGAAACTGTTTTTAAACACATTAGCACGTTGTATAATAATTTTGAATTGAAAAAAATAAAAAAAAATTGACACTTGAAAAAAATTTGTTTTGCCTGTTTTTGAAGTTGTTTTATTTTTCAAAGAAAGCAAACGCCAATTTTATTTTTTGATATGTTGTTAAGCTATAAAAGCACTATATAATCAAATTTTAAAAATTAAAAAACGTTTGGTTCTTCATAGTTAAAAATGGCGCCAAACAAAAGAAGTTTTTCATTTTTTTGACATTTTGAGCTCCGATAGCTCAAAAAATTCAATACAGATTTTAACGAAATTTTGTGATTTATTTGTGACTATAAGGTACTTCTAAAATAACAAAAAATATTTATTTATTTTGCGATAGATTTTGAGCTACGCTGTTTTGAAATCGGTGAAATTTTCAAAAAATTCATTTTTTTCTAGATTTTTTGTTCAAAATATCCTTTGATTCGAGACAATAACATTTATTTTTTTTGTTATTACATTGTTTCACTGATATGCACAAAAAATTTCATCAAGATATGTTGGCTAGTTCAAGAGATATAGCGTTCTACGTAGGTACAAGTTTTGAAAAAAATCGCTCAAAAATTTGAGGATGCTGTCACAAAAATCTTCATAACTTGAAAAATAATTGAAATTTTTTTATAAAAATTTTATTTTGTCGATGAAATACATTGAGGTACTTACTGTTCAAATTTAAAAAAAATCGGAGATGGTCGGGCGTGGACTTTTTTTTAAATCGTTCAAGTTGACGGAGAATGACCCAATTGCAAATATTTTTGACAATCGATTTAATTTTAAACGATTTTGTCGCTACTTTTTCATTTTAGTAGCGATAGCTGTAGCGGTAGTTATTGTAAATATTTAAACATCCCAAACATGTATCAATCTTCGTTTATAGTTTCTATCTTTTATGGGTCGGACTTTTTTATTCCATTCATCAGTTTCTGTTCCATTCATCAGTTTCTGTCTTCAAGACGATCTATCCGTTGCGTCAGTCTCCTTGAGACCAATTGCCTTCAAGTCCTTCTGTATGGTCGGCGTCCAGGACTTTTTTGGGCAATCTCTTGGGTGAGTGACAAACACCTGGTGCTCAGTAACGTAAATTATTGGATCGTTTTCGCTTCGTTTTTACATGGCCAAACCAGCGTAAGCGATGACGACGACATGCATCCTTTAACGTGCACAATCCCGATAGGTTCAGGATCTCGGTTTTATGGATATGGTCTCTTTGGTCAACATGCTGCATCCAACGAATCATCTTCATGTCAGTTTGGTGAAGCTACTGTTCGAGGTTTGTTGTCATCGGTCACGTCTCTGCACCATGCATTAGAACATAATGTATAGCTGTGTTGTATTGTTGTAAGCGCAGCGGTTGAGGAATGCTACGTCGCATCAGTACTGAGGCAAGGATGTGCCATCTGCCCCAAGCCGCACGTATGCGTCCACGAACGGCGGCATTAACTGTTCCAATAAAATCCAGCATATCTCTCAAATACTGAAATGAAGTAACAGTTTCGATTCCGGTTCTGTTAGTATCATTATCTGGGCTCCGTTGTCGCGGGTTGATGCAGGCGGGGCATACGAAATCAGTCACTTTCCTCAGTGAGCCGGTAATTCTCGAGCAGCGTTCGTGACACCATTGCTGACATCTTGGGCATTTGATCGAGTTGCGTCCAACTCCAACCCCAAACACCGGACATGGCCAATGACCGGAGACTACAGGCTCAGCGATACCACCGGTGACTATAGTTTTTGTTTTGTCAAGGTTTACCTTTAGTTCGGCAAGCTGGGAATTCCAGACCTCAAACTTGTTCCGAGGTCGCCGTCAGAACGATATCATCTGCATATATCACATTTTATATGTTATCTGAGCGTATCGGTCAGATTATTTTTTCCATCACCGAAATGAAGAGCAGGGGGCTGAGTATTGATCTCTGACGGACGCCGACGTTAATATCAAATTTATTCGTGTTACCGGCTGACCAGAGATTTTGTGATAAAGTACGTTGCCATAACCAGCTGAACCAGATGTTCGGGAACAAGCTGTCTACGAGACTCCACCTGATTGCCTCACGCCAATCGGGTTTGTTTCATTCAATAACTTATCGAAGTAATCGTTCCAGTGATCTTTCACTTTATTCTGCAAGGTTATCATCATAGTGCCTTTATTATTCTTTATGCATGTGGCACCAACTATATTTTTTTTCAGTTTTTTGGCCTGATTTGCTATTTGGTAGAGTGACCGAATTTGTTTGCCCTTACTTTCAGTCAGCCATACCTTGCATTGGTTTGCACGAGCCATCGCAACCTGACATTTTGCTTCTGTGTTTTTTGATCGGTCTTTCGATCTTCATCAGTCTTCGTCTTCTGCCATTGTTTGAAAGTTGCTTTTTTACTGGCAATAGCATTTTGCACCATCTCGTTCCACCATCAAGTTTTGCGGTTATGATGGCGTTTTTGTCCAGATTTTCCACACACAGCTGTTGCAGCGTTCACTAGGGTGTCCTGAAAAGATTCCCAGGTTATGTCTATCTTCTCCAGACGATGCAGCTGTGCCCATACCAACTTCTTGAATTTCTCCCTGAACGTGGGGTTTTTCAGCTTTCTTGTCTTTATTCTAGTAGGCATTCGATTGGTCACAGAGCGTGATCGTTCCATGATCATATCGGCCACCAGCAATCGATGTTGAGGGATGCATGCTTCGCCTGGAATGACTTTTGTATTCCTGAATAGTCGTCTGTGTTATTGTCTGATGACAATAGAGTCAATATGTGTGCATGACATCCCGCTTTTATAGTAATCAAATTTTTTGCCTCTTCTTGAAATAAGTGTTTAACAGGGAGAGTTCATAGCTTTCAGCAAATTCCAGAATCCGTACACCGTCTTCCTTTTGAAATCAGTAGCCAAAGCCTCCTTGGACACCGTGGAACCCATTTGCTTTATCTCCAACATGGCCGTTAAGGTCGCCACATATCAATAGTCTTTCTAATAATGGTGTTTTTCTGACGGAATCTGAGAGTGTGTTCCAGATGTCATTTTTGGCGTCTTCAGATTCACCGGCCTGTGGTGCATATGCAGAGAAAACAGTCAGAACCTGTTTTACCCATTCTGAATTTAATCAGCATTAGGCGTGAGCTGATACAAACCACCTCCACCTAACCCTAACCCACTCTATTTAAGGCTGTCTTTTGGCCATTCCAGAACAATTTGTAACAGTTCAGTGATAAATTCAAACACCGTATTTTATAGGACATGTTATTAATTTAATGAAAAAATAAATTTTTCCTTTTTTTTATAAATCTATATATTATATCGAAATTGTTTGATTTGAAACAGTTATGTAACAATTCTTTGATTTATTCAATGATTGTTTATAATAGGTTTTCTGACTGCAATGAGGCAAGAAGTAACTAGATCTCACAAAGGTTGGTCATTGGACAGTGTCATCCTCCAGAATGAAATGACTACAAAATGGACCAAAGATGAAATAACCGTTCCACCCACCGTTGGTTCACTCAGATATTTTGATCAAACTGTGATTATTGGTTGCATTAAATTTATTAAAGCTTTTGAGCCTATCACCTGAAGCGTTTATATTATCGAAGCAAACGATCAGTGTTGTTAAGTATTTAGAGTATTTAAATACTTAAATAGTATTTAACATTAAATACTTAAATAGTATTTAAATACTCACCCCAGTATTTAAGAGGTATTTAAAATATTTAATAAAATGGCAGTATTTAGACAGTATTTAAATACTTTTGCATGGTATTTAGTATTTAAAAAATTCAAATGCTTTACAAAAAATTGCTTTATCAATCATCTATTCCACGTTGTATATTCATTGTTTATTCTACATATGTGATGTGTATATACTATATAATAGTGTGTGCAAACTGCTCTAATCTGTTTGAGCTCAGGGCGAAATGCCTGCAACTTTTAGAACAGTCTGTGTCTACTATTACATCAAGTACATCAGAACCAGTTTATAAAAGCAGGATCAATGACAGTAAAACAGAAACGTGTTTTGACTTTGATGATGAATTATTCACAGAACAATCGCAACAACATTTTCAGTATCTTAATGATAAAGATAAAGATTCAAAAATGTTAGACAAACATTTAAAAATTAAACAATTTTTCATTAGATATAACTCAGCATTGCCTTCAAATGCCCCAGTTGAACGTCTATTTAGTTCAGGTGCTCTTATTCTAACTAAACAGCGTAATCGTTTATCTGATGATCTGTTTGAGACATTACTGCTCTTTAAAATTAACCAACATTATTGGTGAATTTTAAGTAATAATGTCGTTTTTCATTTCTAATGGAAACATTTATGAGATTTACTAAAATGTGATGTGGGTGTATATAAAATAATAAAAATTTTTTTAAACAGGATCTTTTTTTATTAACGTGCAAATTTTAGTACCAAATAAAAACTGCATGTTATTTAAAAAAATTTTAAAATACTTGTAGCCAGTATTTAAATACTTGAAGCAGTATTTGGTATTTAAATACTATTGAAATACTGAATTTTAAAAGTAATTTGGGGAAAGGTTTTTACATCCGGACACCCATCCTGACGACAACCACCAGTTATAAGCGGTGGGCCTAGCCTTTTGCTCAAAAGCACGCAAGGCAGCGTAGATGCAGTTTTATGTCATGCCCTGGACCAAAAGTAAGATAATTAAAAACATATTCATACAGACCGCTCCCAATGTTAGAAACCTTTCTGGTTCAACTTTTAAAGTAACATAATTAAAAGTTGAACCAGGAAAGTCTCCAACATTGGAAGCGGTCTGTATGAAGTTCATAACATCCATCGCTATCATCTCACGCTCCACCCATCCGATTTCAGACATCACTGTAGAAGAGCTTACAAAAGCTCTGAAAGCTATGAAGAATGGAAAGGCAGCAGGGCCCTCGGGACTCACAAATGACATCAAAGTATCTGGTACTGCAGGTATTCAAACGTTACTACAACTTTGCCGTGAAATTTGGAGAAATTGCTTAATGCCGACTGAATGGAACTATAGCATGACAGTGCCGCTATACAAAGGCAAAGTTGATCCATTGAAATGTTCATCATATCGGAGTATACGTCTGTTAGAACACTCCCTGAAAATTGTCTAGAAAATCATTGAGAAAAGATTAACGTCGTGCATCACAATCGAAAATTATCAATTTGGTTTCCTAAAGGGGATATCAACAATTGATGCAGTTCACATCTTTTGGCAACTGCAAGAGAAGTACCTCGCAAAGCATCAACAACTATCACACATTTTTGTAGACCTTGAAAAAGCATTTGATCAAGTTCCCCTGTGAAGCAATCAGGTGGAGTCTTCGTCGACAAGTCATTCCGGAATATCTTGTTCGACTTGTGATGGAAATGTATACGAATACTAAGACTCTTGTCAGCACAACAGTTGGAAACACAGATGCATTTGACATCGGCGTTGGAGTTCACCAAGGCTCGATTCTCAGTCCACTGTGTTATTTATAACTATGATGGAAGAAATCACAAAACCGATACGCACTGGTGACATTTGGAATCTAATATATGCTGATGATATCGTTTTAACAGCCACGTCTGAGCAGAATGTTTGTCCTGCTTGTATCAATCCACAACAACAAATTCAAAATAGCAATGTTTTTGAAGCCATTAAGGTAGAGAAAGCCACATCGTTTCAATATCTAGGGGATGTTCTGGATTGTACTGGAACAGTTCGAGCACGCATACGTGGAGCCTGGAATAAATGGCATCTCCTTGCCTATATATTGGTGCGGCGTGACATCCCACTACCACTACGATCAAGACTTTATAAATAAGTGATACGTCCGGTGTTGTTATATGGTGCAGAAACATGGCCAATGACAACCAAACTGGAATAACAACTTCAACGAACCGACATGAAAATGCTCCGATGGATGCAACGAATTAGTCTGAAGGACCACATCAAATCTACCGAAATCCTGCGTCGTGCTGGTTTATATGATATAAACGACGAATGCTGGCAACACCGTCTGCGGTGGTTTGGTCATGTCAAACGAAGTGGAAACAGTGCCATAACTTTTTTTGCAGATGTTGAAGTACCTGGTACACATCCCAAAGGCCGTCCAAAGAAGTCCTGGTTGCAAACAATCGAGCAAGACATGAAAGCTCTAAATTTAAATTGAATGGATACAACTAATCGTCTAATTTGGCGCAAATAGTTGATGGCAAAGAAAACGGACGCAAAACGAAGATTGATTGATTGATTTAAATACTGAATTTTGACCAAGTATTTGCAAAGTATTTAAACACTCAACATGTGAGTATTTTAACAACACTGCAAACGATAGAATAAAAATGTAAGGTTATCATGCCCCACGGTGCTTTAGTAAGCGCAAAGCGGTAACAGTGTTCTAAAACTACTGTTGGTCGTAATGATTTGTATGCTTGACGTAATATTTTAACTTATCCAAAACAATCCAACACAACATACATAATATGCTAATTACTCATTGAGAACAAGAAAATTATAATGCATTTTCATTTCAGAAGTGTAATTGTTTCTAACTCAAATTTTTATTTTTTAGAAAAAAAATATTTAGCTAATTTAAAAGTAAAGAAAGTTAAAAATTATTTTGATAAATTTTAGCTATTGTTAAATTAAAATGTTTAAAATGTTTCATTATTCCTGTTTTACTGCAAATTACACTCCTATGTAATTACAAGTAAACTTGGCACAACATATATAACCTGTCCCTGGGTATGATAGTGCAAAATTAATTTTTACTTTAAAAGTATCTATTATCTATTTAATTTATAACGAAATTTTTTTAAATAATTGCTTAACAAAGTTATGCATCACTTAAACTCATAGCTATCGGAATGTTTTTTTCTAAACGTGCTATGTTTTAGTACATTTTTAAGGATTCTACAAATATGTTAACAACATTAAGGAATGCTTTTTATGATGCGAGGACTTATGTATTTTATTCTATACTTGGACAATAGATTCAAACTACTTACCGTGGTTACAAATGGTCGACGCCCACCAAAGCATAGTGATGTGGATTGCTCATTTAATATGTTTCGTTTTTTTTTTATTGATGTAAAAAATGTTTTAGGTTGGTTATATCCTAACTACTACAATCAACCACTTGTGTCCAAAAACTTAGTTAAAACTATATTTTAATATTTCTAGTAACTCAAATTTTATTTTCAAAATAGTATTTTTTAGTCTTTATTATTGCAGCTCTGACATACACAGAACCACTTATAACGTTACATATTTATTATCTGTATATCTTTTATTATGTTTTTCATATCTTCCTCCACTGATTTGAAGCAGCCATCTTCGCCACAAAGGCTGTTTATCCTTTTCACACGAAGTACACATGCATTTTATGTGCACGTGCAAGCACCGCATCATACACGCTGAGTATATGATAGCCATTGAGATGTTTGACCCAGTGCGCACCAATAGAATAAGGCCAACATGCGACAACTTACGTCGTCTCCCCATTCACCGACCTGGAAGGATATACGGCTGGGTTTAAATTTTTCCACTTTTAATTTTTAATTTTTCATTTTTTGAATTAAATATAAAAACTTTTCAAAGCTTAATCAAAATAGATAGATATTTTGTCATTTTTACATTTACTTGCTTTCATGACTTTTTTTGACATTTTACAATTGAAAATTGTTGCTATTTAACTTAAAAAAGTTTTTTCTTTTTTCTATATTTCAATTTTATGAAACTTAGTTGTTAATTTTTATATATTTGCGAGTTACCGTTCATTTTTTACTGCTGTGTGTCAGAATGTAAAAAAAACTAATTTTAGTAAAAATGATTGACTATTTAAACGTTTAAACGATGAAAGGAAGGTGTTTACGTGCATGGCTTGTATTTGGAAGGTGCTGGATGGGATCGGAGGGCATCGAAGCTCGTAGAATCTCCACCGAAACTCTTATTTTCCATGCTCCCAATCATAAGGATGTTTGCTTCACAAGTATTTAACATTTTCTATTTAAACAATAATTATTCAATATGATTAATCATCCATATATTTTTTTAATTTCATCAAAATTTGTTTCCGCTAAAAACTTTAACCAAAATTTTGTTGGCAAAGAAATAGAACTTAGTGACAAACAATTATTAACCTTTTTACCAAAGTTAAGACACTTCAAGGAATTCGTTCAATTACGCTTGTATCGTATACAACAAGAGGGTTAACAGCTTAGCAACGTGCGATTAAAAAGTTTTCCACCTTTTGTCTGAAACGATTGTATTGATTACCTATAAGACAAAAATTTGAATGAGATTTGTGCTTTTTAAAATACGAATCAAAGTAATTTCTTATTTTATAGAATAATAAATGAAAATTATTACATATAATAAGGATATTCATTAGTAATTCATTTTATATCGGGTTTAACAAACGAACCTGTTTTTAAAGTTAATGCCTTCTGCATTTATTTGGTATTAAATAACGTAGTTAAATTTAAAAAATTTATAAATATAGATTGCACCAAAAGATCTACGCTTGTATCAGTGTCCGGTCTATAAAAAACCTAGAAGAACCGATTTGAATTACATTACGCAGTTAACATTGAAGACAACAGTGAATCCGGATCATTGGATCCTTCGGGGAACAGCTGCATTGGCAGACATTAAATAATTTGTTCTCAAATTTTTGTTTACATTTTTTGATTTCGTTGTTTCTGATTTAAAATATATAAACAATCAAATCAGTTTGTTCATTGATAATTTTTATACATCACATCAGTCACTGATACAGTTTTGTTTTTTAATCGTAAACATATCAAGGCGTGGTTGTTGCAACACGCATGTTTTTATACGACGGACTTAAAATCTCAGCATTTCTCGAATCGAAAATACGACTGCAGAGCAGTGGTATCGTAGCTTATTGTTTTGATACTTCTACTTTTATTTAAATTGTCTAAGTGGGGCCCTAAAAGAAACGAGCAGATAAGTAATTTTTAATTTGTCTGTGTACGCGTGAGGTTTACTCATTGATATTATTAAGCCTATATTAAAAGTTAGTAATTTTTTTTTTAATTTTAAAAATATATAATAAGTGTTGCGCACCCGGTTGTGAAACTGGTTATAATTCCAATAAAAGTAGTGTCAAAGTAAAAATTTTAAATTGCCGTTGAATGATACAATTCTGTTAAAAAAATGAATTCATTTTTTATCTATGAAAGATTTCCATCTGACCAAAAATCACCGACTGTGCGAATTATTAATACATTCTCAAGATGAAGATATACAATAGAAAGAGTAGATGCCAATGTGACTCGGTGAAGTAAAACCAAATCTGTTGGATTGAACAGGGTACGCCTGAAACCTCGTGCAACCTTGCAACTCCAAAATTGCTCAGCTTATGTGAGCAATTTATGGATACCTCACAGATCTGGCCGTGCTTCTGCTGCATCTCGAGAGGTTTTAATTAATGAAAGACATGTTGTTGCTGAGGGTATAGCAGAGGAACAGAAAAAGTAACATGTTTTAATGATTTTGCTGAAAAAATTTAATAAAATTTTTATTCCTAATGGTTGAAAAAAGCAATCATATCTCACCTATCTATTAGTAATAACAATATATAACAGCATAACTTCATCAAATGTCAAACTGCTGAACGCACAATTGTTAGAATTTGTAAAGGCTCAGATAAAACTTACCTAATTTAAGAATCAAGCCATAAAATATTCGAAAAATCTGCTTACTGTGTCATTTTTGTGGCAAATAACAAGTCATAAACTGTATGAAACTATAAAAGAATTGTTTATTGTTTCTAGTGTTCGTCACATTCAGCAGTTGTCCTTAATTTTTGCTGAAAATGTTGAAGGTCTTTACCAACCATAATTAGAAGCAAGATGAAAGCAGTCTCTGAGACAGAAAGTCTTGTTATTTGGGTTGCACCGGAGCTTAGCTTCGGCTCCGGCCGATTATCCGACCATTTTTCACTATCCGGCCATATTCAGCTCCGGCTAGATAGTTGGCTGGATAGCAAAATATACAGTGTCTACATTTATTTTAACATGTATAAAGTAGAGAAGTAAACACTAGACATACGTTAATTAATGTTTGTTACATTTGGCCTGGAAAGTACACACACACACCACACACACACACACAAATACACACACACATATATATATATACAATATTTTACTTTCTTCCTCAATAGGGTACGACATAATGATAAGAAGGCAGGATGGTTGTGAAAGAGTTCATTAAGGAACTTGTCTAGCACAACTTTTCAAAGAGTTGGGACTGTCAAGCAGGAAACGTACAGCATGCCTAAAAATAATTATTACTTTATTAGTAGCGCAGAGCAAGCTTCGTATTGGTTGTTTCTGTATAGTAATAACAAGGAGTGTCGGCTAAATTAGCAAGCATCCTTTATAAACTCACGTACTTGTAGATTCAAGTCGTCTCACAAAATTTGTTCTTTTTTATTCGGCAGACTAAAAGTGTTTTTGTGAATTACTTTAAAAAACAACTAAACTTTGCAATATTGTTCACTAAAATAATAATTGCATTAAGTTAGTGTTTAAACTCGGGCTACTGATTAGTCCTATAAGGAACGAAACGCGTCTAGTCTAAAAAGAATTGGGTGTTCACAAAAACGCGCCTTTGGTCGTCGTGAGAGATAGTGTATTTTATGTACTCGTACTGGCCGACCGTACTTGCGTGAGCAGGTCAGAAATTCTCACCCTTTATAAACTCACGCACTTGTAGATTCAAGTCAACTCACAAAATTTTTTCTTTTTCATTCGGCATAGTAACAGTACGTCTCTATCGACTAGAAGTGTTTCTGTGAATTACTTTAAAAACCACATCAGTTTGCAATATTGTCTAATGAGGTAGGGTAACGTGGGGTAAAACGCCTACTAGGGGTAAGAGGCCTCCCGTCCATGTTGAGCGAAATTATTGCGCTGCAATTTTTTTTTTAACTGCCATAATATTAGATTATCTATGTTATTAAATGGTCTGTGTTGTGGAAGCCGCGCGTTGTTTTGGTTGATAATTAATGAAAGTTTAAGATTTTAGGGCTATCTATTACAAATATAAACATAATCATTAAAGCTTTTTCTCAAAAACTGAAGTTATTCTCAAAAAGTTGAAATAAGTGATAAAATTTTGTATTATTTACACTATTTAACACGATTTTTTTTAAATCTAAATTTTAATCCATCGTAGCACATTATCGGTTAAAATTTTACAATACATTTTGGGGTAAAACGCCCCCCTACAAAATGGGTAAAACGCCCCCTTTTAAATAATGTAATTAAAGAATAATTTTATACTAGAACTATTTGATATTGTTTTAATCCTTAAAATTGAAAAATGAAATTAAACAGTTGTTTGTTGGTTTGAAGCGTATGGTTGACTCTTTGATGAATGAGGCACCACCAGGTGCTATTGGAGTTTGTACCCCAAGCGGTTGGACAGACAGTGAATGTTTTATGAGATGGTTGAATCATTTTACATTTATTGTAAAGCCATCAAAAAAAGACAAGCATCTTATTTTTCTTGATGGACATCACTCTCACAAAACACTTGAGGCAGTGACATTTTGTCGTGAAAATGGAATTGAATTAATAACATTTTCACCCCACTGCACACATAAGATGCAGCCTCTTGATGTTTCCTTTTTTAAAGGATTGAAAGCTGCATACAATGCAACTGCAGATGGATGGATGCTTAGTAACAAAGGAAGACGGATAACCTTTTATGAAATAGCTGGACTATTTTCAAAAGCATTTTTGAAAGCAGCCACCCCAGAAAAAGCTGTGCATGGTTTTGAATGCACTGGTTTGTGGCCTCTAAACAAAAAATAAACGTTTGGATAATTGAATAATCAATTTAAATACATTAACAGTTTTTTTCAATATTTGTTAACATTGTTTTTATAGTTTTGTTTAATAAATTTGATTGAATATTCAAATTTACCAATGTATTTTTAAACACTATCTATGACATTGACATGGGGTAAAACGCCTCCCAGTAGGCGTTTTGCCCCAATGCTGGGGTAAGAAGCCCCTTTATCAAAAAAGTTTTAATGGCAAAAATTTTTCATTGGGTCCTTTTTATTTGTTAAAATTATGTATTTATATAAAATACTATGAGTGATTTTTCTGGAAATTTAAAAATCTCACAGTTTTATAGCATAAATTTGATTTAATCGAACTATTTCCTTAGAGGGGGGCGTCTTACCCCATGTTACCCTAATATTTCTACTGAGTTAGAGTTTAAACTCGGGCTACTGATGAGTCCCAGAAATGAGATATCTGTGAAATGAAACGTATAACAAGTAAATTAATATCAACTACAAAATTCAAAAAAATGAAATAAAACTGGCCAACAACGTTCTAAAACAACGACAGCGCTAAGGTAATGGTAGTATCAATCACCTTTCATAACTAAATTGCTTAATAAAGTCGATCAAAGATTACATTTACGATTCAGAGATTACTCGTTGGTCCATCAACAATTATATTACCTGAGGTTTTATTCAAATTCACCATAAAATATCTCAGTCAGCATTGGTGAAGCGGTCAAAGCCACATGTTGCATCTGCGATGCAAAACAAACAAGCATGTGGTATCAAAACAACAACTATTCCGTCAAACGATTTTTAATTTTACAATTTTTATTGAACACATGAAATTTCACCTATAGGTTTTATAATCTATTTAAATTAACATTAGTCAATATGACTTGGTCTGACCATTTTAGAGAAAGCTTAATAAATTGCGTGATATCGTCGTCGTATGTTTTTTACTGTTACAGGAATCCAATTTTTATATTTTAACATTTTTGTACCGATTCATAAATGACGAGTTTAATTTTATTTATTCTACTTTTTTGTTTTTACTTTAGTTTACGAGAAATAAGAGTTTATATTATTATTATTTGCTAAAACTGCTCTGATAGTTGACCATCGACAACAAACCAATTCCGCCAATCTAACTTGATGGGCGTTTTATATATCTGGGCAAAATCTACGATTTTGAAGAATGTTGAACCGCACATCCCTATTTTAAACATGTGACGTTTTGCTATATATAGGGGAGAGTTGCTCTGATTGGAACACTTTACAAAAAATGGTCATAAAAGATTTTTGTTTAGCAACAAGATTGAAATGTGATAGCCATTCCCTCAAGCAAAACATTGTTTATATATGAATCACACTAGATGTTTACAGGCATACTTGACAAGTTGGAAAATGAAGATGAAACAACCACATGCATTTGTTCCAATCAAGGAACCAGTTGCCTTGAATGGAACTCATATATATGCCTTAATTGGAACACTGGAAATCGTTGTTACCCTAATTGAGAAAGATATGATTTATTGAATTTTATTACATTATTAAGCTCAAATAAGTGAATTATGTTATTCATAATGTGTTTTATTTGTAAAAAATCATATTCAAAAGTCAAAATCTGAAAAAATTATGTTATTCATAATGTGTTTTAATTGTAAAAAATCATATTCAAAAGTCAAAATCTGAAAAAATACAAAAACTTTCATATGTAAAGTTTTTTTAAATTTTACAGTTATACAGGTCTACAAAACTTAACTAATTACTGAACGACTAGTCGACTACTTAACTGAAATAATTATTCTACCATGTAGTTACTAAAATCGTATTCGAAAGTATAGATTCCTCTGCGAACAGAAGGCTCTGGCAATACAGTTATTATGTAATTTTCATCGACATCATCTACTGCTTGATTCGGTGGCAAAGAATCGATAAAATTGTTGCTTCGCTGACTTCGCCTTAAAAAGTGAACTTCCCATTTACCGTCCTTTGAATTTAAATGTTCGTTATTGTTTTTATTAATTCTGCCAACATAGAACCTTGATTGACTTTTTGTGTTGTATTGCACAAGCACCCATTTTCCAACTTCAAAATTATTTATAAGTATTCCATAGTTCGAATGTCCATCCTTACTTTCTTCTTTATTCTTAAAATCAGATGAATCACTTTCCACTAATTTTATTTTTTTATTCTTAACTCTACTGACTTTGAGTATCGGTTTTATCAATTTCTTTTTTTTTGAAACTATAACTTCGAGTTCTCGACATACTGCCCTCTTAATATTAACTGGCATGTTTTCCAATTTGTTCTTATACGGCGTACTCGTGACATCGGCTGCATGGGTTGCACGAGTTTTTTTTTTTTTTTTTGCTTTTTCTTCAACTCCAATAACTGGTAAGGGTGAAAGAGTGTTAACTGAGATGTGTTCTTGAGATATTGAATGATTATTCGATGGTGATTTTAAGACTTGACCAAAGCCTTCAGTAGCTCTTGTAGATGCCGGTGAAGCAGTATAAGTTGCTGCAGTTTCAGTTGATGTTGTTGCTGCAGTCGTAGATGTTGTCGTTATTTAAGAAGATGTCATTGCTTCTGCTGCAATTGATTTTATTGGTGTTTCAGTAGAGGTCAATGTTTCAGTAGATGTTGTTAGTGCCACTGTAGGTGATATTATATCACTGAATGAAGACGCAGCAAAATCTGCATCCGAAAATATGTTGAAATCAAGTGGCCATAGTCCGCTAGCTCTAAATCCGCTACATGCAATACCGATGGTGGCTGCTCGACCATAGGCTTCTCCAAATATTTCAGCCACTTGCCATGTTGTGGCTGGTCTGGAGACATGTGATCTCATCCACTTTCTCAAGGCATCGTCATAATATTTGCCCAGAGAGCCAAAAAAAGAAACATCTAAAGGCTGGAGTCGATGAGTGGTATGAGGTGGTAAGGAAATCATACGTACCCCAGCTTCTCTTGCAAATTCAATGGCTTTCAAAATTTTTACATGAGTCACATGGCCATCAAAGACAACTTTGGTTTCCTTTGTTGGCTTCACTACGGATATGAAATGTTTTAACCATTCGATAAAGCCATCATTTGACATCCACCCCTTTTCTTGTGTGCTGAAAACTGTGCCTGGAGGTGCACCATTTGTCATTTCTACTTTCATTCGTTTACGTTTGTATATCAACATGGGTGGTATATATTGGCCCGAAGCAGAAACACAAACAACACTTGTAACAGATTCCTCTCGCTCGTTGCTTGTCATAGCTCCAATTCTTTTTTTCCCTTTGGCACTGATGATTTTGGACTGCCCATCTTGAACTGTGGACAAGGTATTTTCATCCATGTTAAATAGTCGATCTGGGCTAAGATTTTCCTCATCATAAATTTTTGCCAGAAGTTCAAAGAACGATTTCACACGCTCTTTATTAAAACCTTGGGCACGTGCCATAGATGTTGATTCTGGTTCTCTTAATGATAGTTCAGGATGTCTGCGCATGAAGGAATAAAACCATTTTTTTCCGGCCATGCCACCTTCTCTGTTAAAGTTAAGTTTGATTCCATTAGCTTCAGCAAGTCATCAACTCGTAATCCAAAGTACATAGATTCCAAAGTAAGACAATGTTCAACAATTTCTGTTTCCAATTCTGGTGTGAAAATACAAGCATGACCATGAAATTTAACATCACCAGTTGCAACTTTATTCTTCCCAGTTAAATGTCGAGATAGAGTTGACTTTGGTAATCCATATACTCTGGCAGATTCTGATAGTCTCATGTCTCCACGATGAACAGCAGACAACGCACGCTCTAGATCTTCACTTGTCCATTTTCCACAAACTCTTTTAGCCATCTACAAATATTATTTAAAATGTCATTAGAAATAGCTAAATTATAAAAAATAAGTAAATAATAATACATAAATATCAAACTATGCTAAAAAATAGAGACAAATTTACAAAAATGGGGTGATATCTAATGATGTTGATTTATGGATGAGGTTAAATTAATAACAAATAATTGTAACAAATATTTTAAACAAATAAACTAAGTATCAATTATAATTATTTAATAAGAATGTGAATTGGAAAATTTTAAATAACATGTTACCTCGATTGGAACGCTGTTCCAATCAAGGCAACTGGCATGTTCCAATCTAGGCAACAGGGTCTGTACTCAATAAACCTAAGATAGTTCCAACAAGGTTGTAAGCATGGTAGAAAATAAATAATTAATTAATCCACTTACCTCAACTGTTTAAATGACGTTAATAAAATATTTTTGAGAAATTAGTATGAAACTTTAATTTTGACCTAAATGTTTCGCAAATTTTAAACCAACCTGGTCGAAAAACAAAAAATGCTTTTATTGAGTTATTGCGTAAAAGTAGACACAAAATTGTGACTTCCTGTTGTAATGCATGATGGTAGAAGGGTGCGTTCATATCAGTAACAGTTAAAATGTGTTTAAGTTTGCGACAAAACCATCATTCTGATCAAGGAAACGTTCCATTTAGAACAACTCTCCCCTATATATCTTTAAAACCAAGGCAACTTCTCCTCTCGCTACGGTTTACGGTCGAACTCTTTTTTGTCAATTCGCATTGCCGATCACGTTTTTGTTTATTTTTGCATTATATCAATAAAATACATTAAAAACATTTCACTTGTTTTTTTTTGCAACGAAAAAAATCTCACAAATTGATGACCTCGAATGATGTCTTGCTAAACTACAAACACAGCTACAACAAAGAGTACAACAATGAGGGTTGCACTCCAATTGAACCTATTCAGCACCGCGAACCCCAAAGCATGGTTTTTATACTTTGAAAAACGTGATTAAGGGCCGCAGATTCTCGGAAGGAAAAGATTTTTATCATGTGTAGTTTAAAAACCCAACGTCATCGCTTAATTGGAAATGGAATTGGTGTCAGCACAAACTTACGCCTCGCTGAAGCACGTGTTAACGCAGAGATATTCAAAATCGGATGAAGAAAATTTGCGTACGTTGCTTCGGGGCGCGGCCGTTAAAGACAGGACGCCATCCCAACTGCTGAGGCACATGCGAAGCTTGTGGGGGGCAACAACAGGAACGAAAGCATTTTAAAACAATTGTGATTAGATCAATTACCATCCACAATACAAATAACACCGGCAACCTCAATTGACGATACAATGCAAAGGTTAGCAACATGGCTGATCGAATTCATCAAATAGCCAATCGCAACAACTCGACAACCACAACGCCGTAGCAAAAGCTAGTATTGAAGAGCTGACAGGTCAAATGGATGAAGAATTTGCTTTCAAGCGCAGCCATCAGCAACAACAGCAAGAATCTAAGATGAAATCTCCACCCAATAAAACATGATAAAAAGACAGGCATTTGCTGATACCATATGACATTTGGGACCAAAGCAAAGAAGTGCTCAAGACCATGCAGCTACCGAACACCGTCAAAATCTACAAACTTTCATGCATCAATTTTAAACATCAACAAACAGCAACAACATACAGCCGCTAAAACAACAGGCCATTACATCAACATTCAACAAACCATGTCAACATCCTCAACGACCCAAATCCGACTACAGGCTGAACATTTGACCAACAACTCGTAACTATTGACCTTGGTCTACGACGTAAGTTTCAATCAATTTTTATCATCGCCAACGTCATACAGGAAATATTGGACGCCGACTTTCTGTCACATTTCAATACTACATTTGACCTGAAGAGACAAAATTTTTGACAATGTCATTAAGTTACAAGTACAAGGGATTGTCGAACGCACCAATACCAACTCGGGCGTAAAGCCGTACATGGTGTCGGACAACAACATTAGTAAAATCATCAACAAGTTTCCTAAACTAACGATGCCGGTTAACAGCAACAACAAAAACAAAACAAAGTACAACACCACATTGTAACTACTGGTCCCACGACGACTGCACCCAGAGAAGTTGCAAGAAGCTAAAGCCGAATTTCAACACATGTTTCAGCTCGTAATCATTAGATCGTCAAACAGCCCTTGGGCATCACCACTTCATATGGTGGCGAAATCATTTGGAAATTGGAGACGATGCGGAGACTACCGTGCTCTCAACAACGTGACCATACCTGGTCGATATCCAAATTTTCACATTCACGATGTCGCTGTCTGTTTGGAGCAGGTGCGGTGGTTTACGAGGTTAGACCTCGTACGGGTTTACCACCAGATTCCAGTGGCAAAGGAAGATATTCAAAAAACAGCAGTGACTACACGGTTCGGTCTGTTTGAATTTTTGAAAATGCCATTTGGAATGAGAAATGCCGCACAGACTTTCTAAAGGTTCATTGATAGTGTTTTGAGAGGACTACCTTTTGTCCACGCATACATTGATGACATACAAAACCGTAGAAGAATACAGAAACTATGTAGAACAAGTTCTTCAACGAATGCACGACAACGGACTAACCATCAATCCATTAAAATCATCCACAACATTTCTTGAACATCAAATTGACAGCTAAGGCATTAGACCTTTTGATTACAAAGTACAAGCAATCATCAATTTTGCTGAACTAACAACTGAAAAGCAACTACACCGATTCATTGGAGTGATCAATTTCTACCATCGATTCATTTCTAAATGCTCAATAATATTGTCACCTCTCACTGACATGTTAACTAAAACTCAACGATGTTCAAAAACAAAGTTTTAGAGAAGCCAAGCAGGCATTACAAGCGGCAACCAAGTTATGGTATTGTTAGTACGAACTTATGCTACTAACAAGACACCTTGTTGTGAGTTAAAATAAATAAAACAAACACAATTCAGGCGTAATAAAATAGTATCTTTATTCCCACGTGAATCTCGAACCGTTTCGTTTACAAGCTATCAGGAAAAAGGGAAGAAGTCGAGAGAAACATAGATTAGGTAACATTGAAAATTGCAATAATTTTTAATAATAATTAATAAATAAGATAGTTAATAAATGAATGTTTGATCCCTACAGTATGTTTAAGAAAAAGGTACCTTTCAACTCTTCACCGAGTTTTCAGACGTTGCGTTGCTGACGGAGCTGTACTAAAACAGAAAAGTAACGGAATTGCAAAACCCATTGCTTTTTTCTCACAAAAGTTTAATTCAACACAAACTCACTAAAAATCAGCATAATTCCAGTCAACAACGGCAAAAACAATATCATCGTCGACACTTCATTAGGCACCTTTTGCCCTTTAGTTCCAACAAGCACGTGAAGATCAGTTTTTCTAAATTTCAACTTTTTGTCACATCCAGGAGCAAAAGAAGCAAGGTCAATAAAAACTAGATACGTTTGGCCCCACATTGATAAAGACATCCGAAATTGGTTCAAAAATTGTTTGCAATGTCAACACAGCAAAGTACATCGACATACTGCTTCACTTCCAGCAAAATCCCTTCACTAAGAAGCAGGTTTTAAGAGACATAGAGACACGGTGGCTATAGACCGTCTCAAACCTGCATACACACCGGCACCATCCATACTGTCACCTATGCCAACGAGAACGACCACAGCGCTTTTAGCAAAATAAACTCCGTCGTCGAACGTCACATCTGCATTCACAAAAACGTCAACACTACCTTCAGTGTCATCCGAGGACACGCCAGCAACAGAAACATTTACGTCGACTCCAGCACACCCAAATCGACTCATCGACACCAACATTTTACCGCCTCAGAGAACCACAAGATCGGGAAGAATAGTTCATCTCCCATCTCGATATCCTGATTAGTATCGATAAATAGTTTACGCTGACGATCTGGTGTGGGAGTATTGTTGGACCGCACATCCCTATTTTAAGCATGTGACAATTTGCTATATATATCTCTAAAAACTTCCTTTCTCGCTACGTTTTACGATCAAAATCCTCTTTGTCAATTTGCATAGTTGAACATGTTTTTGTTTGATTTTGCATTACGTCAATAAAATAAATTATAAACGTTTTACTTGTTGTTTTTTTCATCAAAAAATCTCGCAATAAGATAGCAACACTAAAGCCAAGAAGTAGCTAACCAGCACTGTTCGTATTGATTATTGGTCAAAACACATTATATGCCTTCCGAAAGTCCTGTTTAAATTTGTTCCAGAAATTGGAAATACTCCCGACAAATAACAACCTGTGTGGATGAGCCAAACTAACAAACACGTTTTTTGAAACTGCGACTCGATGTCAGCGTTGAAGTGATATTGACTGCATTTTTGCGGACGAAGAACTTGGTCATAATGTGACTTCAATTGGGAAAAAATACAATTTCAGACAAACATTGACTATCACAGGTTCCACAGACCCACACCTTTGTGCCGCTTCCCTCTTGAGCCACCTGTTTTGGCCGTTTTTTTTACAACCCGTGCTGCGATTTGTGCCTGTTCAAAGGTGGAAATTGTCGCCTTTGAGCTTGATCTCTATTCCGTAAGCTCTCGGACTTTAGTGCAAAATGTTTTAAGATCCAGTCCACAATTTTCAAAGTTTTCCTTTAGACTGTTCTTAAATCTAAAGACCGAACTACTTGCGAGACGTGTTCTCAAGGCTAGTTGTCCAAAGAACACTTGTTTTGGAATTCTTGTATATTCCCTGACCAGCAAAACTGGGCGTGAAGAAGCAGCGCCTCAATACCCGTAGTATCACATTTTTCAAATACCATGACATTGGACACTCTATCTTCCTATTTGATGTTAGCAATAGCCTGAAGACATTTCATGTAGAATTGATCGAGCTTTTGTACATTGCGTCAATAAATTGTCCATGTCTCACAACCGTATGGCAGACTATCTGTATAACTGCTTTGTAGATGCAATTTTGGTAGCAGAGATATCCCATGTTTTTACC